TCAAGTAGTAGTCAGTTTCTGGCCACAGAACACCGTTGGCTGAATAATTTGGATAGTGGATTATTCTCAGTCCAGCGGTGACAGTGATTTGTTTAAAGCTCCAGCAACACTACTGTGTGATCCATGCATACCAGAAAAACAAAAAACAGTAACATCACTACTAGATGTGCCTAATAAAGTGGCCAATGAGTGTAAATATTTTTGCAGTTTAATGATTAGATGTCTTGATCAGCTCAGATACTGATCTTTCAGAGTGCTTAAATAATAGTAACTATATTACATCGCAGTTCATTGTAAAGCTGTAGTGTAGTGTTGTAGTGTTTGTGGTCACTATTAATAGGCATCCCTAAATAACCTTTGGAAAAAGGTAAAAGTGTTGAATCTAGACTTCACATTTGCATATGTAGTGTGGTATTTTTATTTTTATGCGTGTTCTATAAATCAATACTAGACCAAAGGTTAGTTACAACACTATTTTATCTGTGGTGGTAAATTATTTTTGACATGGATGTCAGAGACTGTAGATAGATATTGAAATGGACACCATAAGGCACCCAAACATTACAACTGGAGGGTGAGTGCAGTACTCAGACAAGTGAAATGACCTTAGTTAATTTGATAGTGTCGCTACAGAGCAGCATTTTACATTGTGGCCCGTATTTCCTGAACTGTGAGGCCTTCTGTCAAAATTCTTGATTCTGTGTAATCCTTGGGTAATTCCACGTAAACACCTCACTGGCTAATTTTTCTACTAATCTCAGGTTTTTAACATATCCACACAAAATGTTCATAGAAATCTGGAGATAAAGAATTATTTTTAAAAATGTGGATATTTGTAAACAATATGGCTGCCAAATGCCAATTAAACCCTACTGGATTTAGCTTAATTACAAAAACGGCTATGGATCAGGACTGCTATGGCCAGTTCTTATGAAACTTAAAATTCTTATAGGCCACATTGATTCCAGGAAGCACACCAAGCTTGAGACCAATTTTTTTGTCGGTAGGGGGGCACTATAATAAACAAGAACCTGTCTGTTAGCAACCACTTGGCCGATTGAGATTGAGAGGCTACTTTATAAGTCAGGTCTTAAGGACAACTCAATCTCTGGACAAATATGGCCACCGTTGGCCAATAAGCTTGCAGTAGGCATTTGGAGGGCTTAGCGCACTGGCCAGTCATCATGAAACTTGAATGATATATCCACATAGGCACTCTCTAAGTTTGACCTCAGTCGGCCATAAGGTGGCGCTGTTCAACAACAAGAATGAATAGAAATAAATTTTATCTTGAATAAAAATAAATTATATCATGCATTGCAGTGAGCCTGAAATTTTATCAAAATTTTGTAAAAAAGTTTTTCTACAGTTGTTCAAATTTTGAAGAATTAACTTTTCAAAGTAGTCTGTGGATTTTAATCAAATTGCCTCAAACTTGGTCTCAAAATAATCTATGAAGTTTGTAGGAAATTATTTAAAAAAAAAAATGACTTTAAAGGACAGCGTCTGCAAGACATCACTCAAACTGTTCAGCCTGGATTTTTCTGACAAAGGGCTATAAATCCATAAGCTTTCCTCAGATTGTAATTGGAAAGAATTGTATAGAATCATGTTTTAGTAATTTGAACAAAAGTGTCAATATTTCTCTCTACGAATAAAATAATGAAATGATTTCAAATTACACATCTCACTAAGACCTAAGAGCCAGTTTCTGCCGCAGGGATCTATGCCGCCAAGGGCTTCCCCACCATCTCCCACTGCCTATACGGCACTGCACCGATCCCCCATGTTGGACCTTGCGGGTGGTGGGCCCACATGGTCCACCCATGTTGCCTTTTCAGGCTGAGCCCGGCCGGGTTACGTGGGCTGCACGGCCACCAGACGCCCGTTGAGGAACACTACCCCCAGGCCTGGCTCCAGGGGTAGGTCCTGGTAACCCTCTCCCAGGCAGGGCACACAGTTTTCGGTGTCCTTTTTTCATGAGGATCTTTGGATCGAGTTAGTCTGGGTCTTCACTCCAGGCCTGTTTGCCCTGGGAGACCCTACCAGAAGCGTATTGCTCCCGACAACTTAGCTCTGAAGATCCCTAGACCACACAAGCCCTTCCGCCATGGCAAGGCCCCGATCCAGGAAGGGCCTCCTGTTCATGATATTCATGAACAGGGTGTCAAGGCGTAGCCGAGGTCAGGAGGGCATTATGTGTGGAGGCCGGAGGATGGCGTCTCTGCTATTTGCAGATGATGTTCTTTTGGCTGGATCGCATGGGTGTGAAGCGGTTGGTATGCGGATCAGCACATCCAAGAGTCCATGGTCCTAGCCCAGTAAAGGATGGCATGCCCACTCCAGGTAAGGGGAAAGGACTTGCCCCAGGTGGAGGAGTTTAGGCATCTCGGGGTCTTTGGTCACTGTACCAGACTGTAGTGGTGAAGAGGGAGCTGTGCCATAAGGCAAAGCTCTCTGTTTACCGGTCGGTCTACATCCTAACCCTCACCTATGGTCATGAGCTGTGGGTAATGACCGAAAGAATGAGATCACAAATACAAGCGGCGGAAATGAGCTTTCTTTGCAGGGTGGCAGGCTACTTGATAGGGTGAGGAGCTCGGAGTAGAGCCGCTACTCCAGTTGAGGTCGTTCATGCCCCCTGGATGCCTCCCAGTGGAGGTGTACCAGGCACAGCCTACTGGGACAAAACCCCAGGGTCGTCCTAGGACCCGTTGGAGGGATAATATCTCCAAGTTGGCCTGGGAGCGGCTTGGGGTCCCCGGGAATGAGCCGGAGAAAGTTGTGGGGGGCAGGGTCGTCTGGGATTCTCTGCTCTCCCAACTGCTACCGCGACCCTGTCTGGACTAAGCGGTTAGTGATGATGATGATGATGACTAAGACCTAAAAATGTACAAATATATGTTTTTGCTAAATTGCACAGGAAACCTTTAATATTTTTTTAACCAACCATGACCACAAAATTAGGTGGTATGTTTCCTTCCTACCACTAGAGGGAGCATCAGCAATAACTGCAAACTGTAATTTTCAAATTGACGAACAGACATAAGCTTTACCATATTTGTCTTGTGGCACAGAAAGTTTCTGAATGTTTTGTATTCTGTCGAGCCTGACAATTTTGCAAATACAAGTCTTTCAAAAAAAAATTCCAGAAAATCATCAGTTTGAAAAAGATTTTTTTCATCCTCTTCCCTGGACTTTGGTCTTAAAACAACCATTGAAGTCTCAAGGTCAATAATTATTAAAAACATCATGCCTTTTAAGTGTTACTACATGATACGAATCAGTCAGTTTGGTCTGGCTTTTTCCGACACAAGGGGCTAGAAATCCAGTATCAGAATAAGTAATTCCCAGTGATGGTCTGATTGTGACCAAATTTGATATATATGTACATAATAATCGTCTGATGAAGCATTTGAAATTTGGCTTGAATCAGCCTCGGCTAGCTCTTACAATACTCAATGTATTGCCAGTAATCTAAATTAGCATGCTTTCTGTCTAAGGTTAAAGCAAAGATAATGATTTCAAATTATACATCTCAATAAGACATAACATAAAATATATGTATGTTCCTAAATTGCACAGGAAATCCTGTAATTTCATTTAATCTTCATGACAATTAGTTATGGTTGTTTTGTCTGCACACTAGATGGAGCTTTAGCAGTAACTGCAATTGCAAACATCAGGCAATCATAAACTTTACTGTATTTATCTTTTGGCAAGGAAGGTTTCTGAATGTTCTGCATTCAGTCTGACAATTTTGCAAATACAGGTCTTTTTAAAAACTATTGTTTCCCAGCAATTTATGAAAGTTTGCAATAATATTTTTTCATGGTCTTTCCTGGATTTTTATTGTATCCTCTCAAACTTAGTCTCAAACAAAAGTCTCATTGTGAAGGATTCTTTTTTAAAATCTTGACTTTTAAGCACGCAATGGCTGCAAGATGAATCAGTCAGTTTAGCCTGACTTATTCTGACGCAAGGGCTCTATCCATCCATCAGTAATGCATGGATTGTGACCAAATTTGATATGTACATACACACTAAACACCTGAGGAAGTATTTATAATTTGGCTTGAATCGGCCTCTTTTGGCTTTTTCAATGCTTATTGTACTACCAACAATATAAAATGTCATATCAGTTATAAAATATTGCAATATTTTATCCACTCACAACGGGCCCAACAGTAATTGCACTAAGTGATGTACTTCAAAGCATAGTGGCAATCATGCATCTTACCGGATTTCTCTTGTGGGAAAACAAATTGGTCCAAGTCATGCATTCCACATAGTCTGACAGTTGCGTAAATACAAGTCTTTTAAGTAAGTTGTTCCGCAGTTGATAAATTTGGAATATGCATGGTTTTTTTACTACTCCTTTTGTGTTACCAAAACCTCAAAATTGGTCTCCTAAAACTATCTGTGGAGTCTGAAGATAAATAAGTTTTTAAAAACATAATGACTTTTAAGCACAGCGTGGTTGTGACAGATTAACTCAAGATTTGAGCTAATATTGAACACATTAGTGTGACCTGGCTTTTTCTGCTAAAGAAGTATATTAGTAAATGTCTGATGGTTAACTGAGGGTTAATTCTCAATTGATTTTCCAAAATCACAATAATTGAAAATTGAGTTTAGTTTTTAAACTAGTTTTTAAAATAGTGCTTGGTTCCTTTTTACTCTCTACCAATAAATTGTCTCAAAAAAAGTATTATTGCCATGAGCCTCTTGTGGCTCACCGTGAAAGCTTCTGCCTTTAAAGACGAAGTTCCTGGATTTGATTCCCCGTTAGGAATAATGTACAAATACGTATAAACATTAGACAGTAAACATATCGCTTAGGCATGTTAGTAATAAAAAAATAAAGATCTTTCTTAAGAATTCAACCATATGCTGTGTTTTCTATGAGCCAAGGTTGGCACATAAGGCCTCATTGACCTGGTGCTTTGACCGTGCAGATTGCCACTTGAGTCTATATTTTAATGGTGTTTTTTCAACAGGGCCTAATGCAGCAAATGCCGTACCCCACACCTCAAATCAGCTTGACCGAAAACTTTATGGCACCCCGCCTGCAGTAGGGTCACCAGCAGCCGTGGGAGCTTCACCACCTTTACCTACTCCTGGCCTTTTAGTCAGTTCTGTTTTGGCACCCCCCCCTGCTGGTCAGAATGAAGGTAAGGAAACGTACAGTACATCAAGGCTAGCTAAATGCATCATAAATTCATGTCTGCCATCCACGGCAGCTCACCTACGAACCGTAGCACTTTCCACATGGCCAGGCTAAAACAATAGAGATGCCTCAGGAAGAAAAAAACGTTTGTTGGAGGACTGTAAATGATTAGACAATAAGAAAAGCTCTCATAAAACTGTGCATGAAGACATTGACATACAATGCATATATGACAAGATTGATTAATCCTCTCAGATTTGTAAGTATAGTAATCCTTATCTACCATGCGTCCATCCGCAGTGCCTCTGTCTCAGCTTGTTCACATAGCTTCTTCAGATTGGAATATTAGCTCTTTTTTCTGTTTTTCTTTTCTAATTAAACAAGTTTACAGCAGGTGTAAAGCTTGATGGCACACACAGGAACTACTCTGAAAGTACCAACCAACAAGATCATCACATTTAAATAAATAATTATTTTAAATATAGTTTGAAAGTCTATAAAAAGTGTGTAATTTAACTGAACTTCTAGGAAGTTTATGCTTCAGTCGCTCGCAAATTAAAAAAAAAAATAGGCTTGCAATCTGATGGACATAATACAGTATTAGAGCATTACATAACTTATTCGGAAATTTCAGGAAGTATTTGAAGCCAGTCAAGTGCTTTTGGGCCCTGATTATAATGTTCATTGTACTCTGCACATTTTTTGGCCAATATAAATTCTGTGGTTGTTTTTAAAATGTAGAAGTCCACGAAATTCAGATCCCAAAACTACTTTTGACCACTCATGGAGAGAGCAGTATGTAGGAGAGACCCGCATGCATATATGATGGAGAAACAGAAGTGTAGGCACTTGTTATGGCTGGTGTTAGCTCCTCAGTGTTCAGCTCTAGTTGTCTACCATTTGGTAACAGTAGGACTTAATGATGAAATGTGTTGACCCTTAAAGAATTTTTTGTGTACCTTAGATGTAGGAAAACCAGTAAGAGCACCCCTCCCGTTAGCAGACAACAGAAATCAACTTCGTATCGCATTCTTTAAGCCCTAATAAGCAAATGCAGGTCTAACATGTGCTTTCTTGTAGTTGGATAATGTAAAAGCATTAAGCCTTTTTTTTTTGAGAAAGTATATATTTTTACTGAAATATGTGCAAAATGTTCTTCGTTGCAGTATCAACTGTGAAGCGTTCTTCAGATATTCTTTAAAAATAAGTGAACTAATCCCTTATCCAGTTTGGACAGTTTGAACAACAAAAACCAAAAATTGATAGTATTGCTATATGCGAAGAATGAAAACAAGTGCAGCATAAGCTGTCCATAGCTTTCCTGTCTCAGGTTGTTGTATTTTGACTTATTTGACTTATTTTCTCAACCAAAAACATCAGTATACATTAGATAAAGTAGCCAAGCCTATTTTGTTGTTACACTGCACTCATAGGAATCAGAGACAAACAGCTAACATGGAAGCATTTAGTAACATTGGCTTTTATTTATCAAAGTTGCACACAGTTGAAACTGACCTTAAAATGAGCACTTGCAAATTTTATTGACAGCCTTTTTATTTTATTGATTTGCGATTATACTCAGAATTACTGTCATGAACATCAATAATATCAGCAATAACGGTAAAAATAGAAAATAATGATAATACTACTGACTGTTCACACAGAAATCATTGTGCTAAAGTGCATGTACTTTTTACATGCACATTCATAAAAATAAAAGCTGTGACCATACGTTCCATTTAATAACTTTTGATTGATCCTGCTGATATGTAAAATGTTTACCTTTCTAAAGTACAAAACATTAGTAGAATATAGAGTAGAAGCCACCTCATGTTATATATATATATATATATATATATATATATATATATATATATATATATATATATATATATATATATATGCCTCAAGCAGCCAGTGTTTTATGAAAATAATCAGATTACACATTCACATCATTTACCATCTGAAAAAAGGCTACATTTTGTTCATTTCACTTTTTTTTTGTCATTGTATTTTTAACACAGTATATACATAATTAATCTCTGGCCAGTGGAGCACCTCCTTCTCCACCCTATACTCCACCTATAAGAACAATCATTGGTTGAAAAGATGCTGACTACTTTTGTTTTAATAGCTCACTATTGAAGCATCTGCATGAATTAAGGCATGTAACTTGTATGTATATGAGGGCAAATTGTCGTGTGCTCATTGCAAATGATATGTAAATAAGGTACTCATCAGCACTGAAGCTGTTTCACAAATCGCGCCCAAATCACCTCCAGTTCACCTCCAGCCCCTAGTTTTCTAGTAAGACGCAGAGTAATTTGTATGTCATTCAGGACAGTCACATATACACTTGTTTAAACGTTACTTAGATAAATAAGGGTCATTGTGTTGGTGTTTAAGTGCAAGGTTAAAATATTAGTTCTGCTCAGAGTAAACCAGTTGTTTCTTAATTCTATGCCCTGTTCCGAATCTTCCCAGTCAGTTTATTATAATGGTTGTAACAAGAACTTAAAGCTTAATGTATTTTTTGTTTGTTTGACAGTTAAATAAATAAAGTAAGATAAAGGCAAATAAATTGGGCCATGAACGTGGCATTTAATATGTTTTAATGTTAGCAGTTCCTTCCGCCAAATTATAGTTCCTTAATAAGCAGCTTGTTGCTACATCAGAGTAACGGACTCTGCTCACTTGCTGTATGCACAGCACAGTATGCTGTAAGCCTCGCCTTTTGAAGTACGGACTGAGCCATAAAACTGCCACAATATCAAGTTTAGCTCAGTTTTGTCAATTTTTGCAAGATCAGTATTAATGTTGTTTTGTTCTGGCCAGTCTGTAAAGCATCTTACAGCCCATTTTGTTTGGCGACTGGTATTCGGTTCATTTCTGGCTAATTCCAGGTTGTTTAGGTGTTCTTCTCTCACAGCTGCTGACTGAAAAACTTGCTCAGTGGTAATGACAGTTTGGGAATTTAGTGTAGTCTCGTCTTTGGAGTCTGACCAAATTGGCTGTAGGTCAAATGTAATCTTGAAAGTATCCACTTTGTGTTTCTGCGCGAAGTAAGAAGTAAAAACGTTAAAATAACTTAAGCATCTCCTACAGCTGCCAAAGTCGTTGTTAGCACCAGCATCTCAGCAGAGTGTAGATAGTGTTTGTGAAATTTTTTTGCCACAACAGCACAGCTAGAACACTTCTCGACCAATCAGCTTGCGTGGACAGAACTGTTGTGTATAAAAAAAAAATAAAAAATTATATATATATATAACAGTTACTACCTCAGTAATTGCTGTGTATATGTATGTTATCTGACATAACTTACAGATCACATCATGTTAAATATGTCTGCACCTTATTCCACTACCTCATGTCCAGAAGTCTGTGCTGTGTCTGTGCTACACTGTCCGGTCTGTTTACTGTGTCTAACGTCTGTATTAATTTATTGTATTTATTGTATTGTTTCTAGCTTAATTTTTGTTTGCACACTGTCTGCACGTTCGCACTTTGTAATTTTGTACTTTTGTACTTTTTGTTCCTTGTTGCACCTTGTTCCTGGAGGAACGTAATTTCGTTCCACTGTGTGTACATAGATGGAATATATATATATATATATATATATATAAAATGTGTGTGTGTGTGTGTGTGTGTGTGTGTGTGTGTGTGTGTGTGTATATATATATATATATATATATATATATATATATATATACACACACACACACACACACCGATCAGGCATAACATTATGACCACCTCCTTGTTTCTACGCTCATTGTCCATTTCATATCAGCTCCACTTACTATATAGTTACACTTTGTAGTTCTACAATTATAAACTGTAGTCCATCTGTTTCTCTGCATACTTTGTTAGCCCGCTTTTACCCTGTTCTTCAGTGGTCAGGACCCCCATGGACCCTCACAGAGCAGGTACTATTTGGGTGGTGGATCATTCTCAGCACTGCACCACTGGTGAAGGACTAGAGGATGACCAACACAAACTGTGCAGACTTTACATCTACAAGGTGGACTGACAAGGTTGGAGTGATCTAATAGAGTGGACAGTGAGTGTACACAGTGTTTAAAAACTCCAGCAGCACTGCTGTGTCTGATCCACCACCCAAATAGTACCTGCTGTGTGAGGGTGGGGGTGTGTGGGTGGGTGTGTGTATGTATATATAAATGTGCATATATATATATATAAGTGGTGTGTGTGTGTATATGTGTGTGTGTATATATATACATATATATATATATATTATATATATATATATATATATATATATATATATATATATATATATATATATATATATGTGTATATATATGAATATGTATGTGTGCGCAACGCAATCTGTATGCAATATATACATTTCTGACATTCTGTTTCTGTTTGCAATAGCTGGCCCATACCCTCCTCAGCCAGGACAGATGAGCAAGCCAGCTAGCACTGCTTACCCTTCATTGGAACCTGGTTACCAGGGCATAGAAGGGGTACCCAAGCCATTACCTATGCACCCTCCAACACAGCCTTATAGCTCCCCACCTCAACAATACCAGCAGGTACTTAACCTTGTTGTCATTTCTTAGCCTAGTGACTGTGTGTGTTAGTAGCATTGAGCATAGTTAACCTTAAATTAGACTTATTTAATCTTCTGCTGTTGGTGCCCATCTGCATCAAGGTTCAGTGTGTTTCTGAGATGCTTTTCTGCTCACCACAGTTGTATAGACTGGTTATGCGAGTTACCGTACCTTTTCTGTCAGCCCAAATCAGGCTGTTCTGTATTGATCTCTCTCATGAACAAGGCATTTCTGTCCACAGAACTGCTGCTCACTGGATGTTTTTTCTTTATTGCACCACTCTGAGTACCCTATAGAGGCTGTAGTGTATGAAAATCCCAGGAGAACAGCAGTAATAAAAATACTCGATCATGCCCATTTGTCACCATAAATCATGCCACGGTCAAGATCACTGAGATATTTACCCCATTCTGATGGTTGATGTGAACAGCACATAAAGCTGCTTGTCTGTATCTGCATGATTGTATGCATTGTAGTGCTGCCACACGATTGCCTGATTAGATAATTCAGATAGTTCATACAAGCAGATGTACCTATTAAAGGGCTCGATGTATGTATGTGAGAAGCATTTCAGTAGTAGAGTATTTGATTTTGCTTGTATCAGAGCATGTGTGAATCAACATATTTGATAATAGCTGCCCGGTTAATGATATATATGTTTGGCAATGAGAATGAACAATAAGGAGCACATGGGTATAGTCCAAGTATGATGGTTTTTAGTTTGTTTTCATATGCAAATATTTCTGCTGCCAAAACCAAGTGATAGAAAACAGACTTACATTGACTCTTGAATCATTGGTTCAGAAGGCCTTTGGTCCTTCTGCCCTTTGGCCCAAATCCAGAGGTCCATTTTAGATAGTTTAAGTCACTGAGATTTAATTTGGCATCAGAAAAATGTGATTTCGCTTACTCAGATTGAAATACATACATACATACATCATCTAAACCGCTTATCCTTCTGGGTCGCAGTGGGGTGCTGGAGCCTATCCCAGCTGTCATTGGGCGGAAGGCAGGATACACCCTGGACAGGTCGCCAGTCCATTCAGATTGAAATAGTTGGGTCAAAAGAAAATGTCATCGAAAATTAAATGGCAAGGTTGATGTTGCAGTTCCAAAAAATGTATGAAAAAAGTAAATATATATAAGAATTAAGGATTGATGTTGACTACAAAGCCAGTATGGATAGCATAGTGAACTACTTTTTTCCTGCTTTAATTTTTCTGTCATGTCTTTAGCCTTCTGTAGGTCCAGCCCAACTAAGTCCATCCTTGTCTGCATTAAGCCTGCAGTCCCAGACCCCTGAGGCTCTAAGAGTGGTCAACCTCCTGCAGGAACGTAATCTCTTGCCCCCTGGACCTGTTCCTGCCCCAACACCCTGCTTGCCTCAGGACCTGCAAAAACTCAACTGTAGCCCAGAGTAAATACATGCCGGCAATGCTGTTTATAGTATTTGGAAACACATGTAGCCATGGCAACAGTTTAAAAGATAAGAGATTAAAAATAAATAGAAGTTAAATAAATGTTAAATAGGATTCCAGAAAATTAGGGGTCATGATGATGCTCTAAGTAGTGGAGAGTCTTTTTTAAATTTATTTTTTTGTTTACTTATTTGTTTTTATAATTATCTCGTCTTTTCCACAGGGTCTTCCGTAGCACACTCACCAGCATCCCTCAGACACAGGCACTCTTAAGTAAAGCGAAACTGCCTCTTGGTTTGCTGTTGCACCCGTTTAAGGATCTCTCAGTAAGTCAAGCGGTTCACTTAAATGCCCCCATACCTATACATTGCTCTGTCTTCTCATTTACTTGTGAAGCTGCATGAAGAATCAGCAAATTCAAGTTTTTTTTTTCAGTAAACTTATTTTGCAAAAGCTGTTACATCAGCAATTGAATGGGCCATGTCCAAAAGACAATACTTTCACACAGAAATGCTCTGCTCCAATCAGGATTCTTTTATGATGAATATTTGTAGTTTTATAGATAATACAGACATTGAAAGCACACTCTGGGTATATTAAAATTAGTAAAACCGTATTATAACTGTATAAAAATATCTAATTTAGATAAGATATGCTAAGCTGTCACAGTTGCCAAAAATCACAGCAGTTACCAAAATCATTTTTGGGCATTTTTAGCCTATTTCCATAAACTCAGGGGGAGAAAGTTTCTTTAAGGGCCAACAGATTTTATGATCAAGTCTTACTATTGCTAGACGACTGTGCCTGATGTGTTCTTACTATGTATGCATTAAAGAAGACGTAAGGATCATGCATATAACCACTGTTCCCTGAGGAAGATGAACGAGAAATGAACACACTGGCTGCATGTCTGGCTGAAGACACCTTTAATCACCCCAGCAGCGTAGATGATACAGAGTAATGAGTGCAGGTGGGCCCATGGCAAAACCTCACCAAAGCCAACATGACAGGCTGATATAGCTGCCATATAGAATGAGAGCCCTCACTCTAATAACTCCAGAAGGAAAGTTCAACAGTGGAACATTGGAAGGGAACAAACTCTCTCCCCACCACATGGGAGAGACATCACAGTTCTGGTCAAGGGTGAACTCTTTCCTTTGTCTACCTGTGTTAGGAGGTCTCGGTGAGCCTATGGATGTTGTACAAGGAAACATAGAGAAGAGTGCTAGATCACAGGACAGTGCATCCACTCACTGCGGCGCACTCTGATCTGCCAGAGAGAAAGAAAAGGGAAAATGTCTGTTTTCACTGGATGCGAAGAGATCTTCTTTTGCCCTGCCAAAACGCTCCCAGATCTGTGCCACTACCAAGGGGTGGAGTTTTCATTCTTTTGCTAGGGGGCCTCCTCTGGAGAGTAGGTCTGCCCCAGGTTCAGGTGACTTGGCATGTTGCCCTGAGCGACAGCAGGTGAAGACTACTCCACATCAGAACAGAGTGGGATAGCTTCAGAAGAGGAAGTGAATGCCTACCCCCTTGACTGTTTACGTATGACACCTCAGCGGTGTTATCTGATCTAAAATGTGCTGTCCTTTTAGCACCAGGATTAAGTGATTTAGGGGAAAATGAACTGCCAGCAGTTCCAAATACTTGATGTGGAGTGAACACTTGTGCAGAAGACTACAACCCCTTCACTGTTGCTTCATCATACAACACCCCCTGTCCCACCACCTTGTGAAACAGAGCTCTGTCTATTTGTGAGCCTTGAGACAGCAGACAGGGCTCCCTTAATCGAGATAATGCTGTCTTACATTCCTTGATCACTACTGTTTTTTTCTGTAGATGGTGCGAGGCATTCTTCGGTGTGATGATCGTACTGATTCTGCTTTATATCTTGTGTTATTATTACTGTTATAACTGAGCTTTTGTGGGGGAGTTTACCTAACTGAATAATAATTCTTAATGCTTGTGCAAAATAGTAAAAAACAGACTGAACAATATAAACATATGGTCTGAACATCTGAGCTGCAGATTCCCTGGCTCGATTGAAACAAAAGGCTCAGAGACCATGCTGCTGCAATACACAGCTGACCAATGTAGGTGCACCGTTCTTTCATCTACTATTACTTCCTTTCCAAGAAATACTACAGTAAGAGATTACTGAAGAAGATTTTCATTTTTACTGATGCTTGTCAACTGATGCTGCATGTGCTGACAGAAATTGCTTTGTGGTATTAGTTAGAAGTATCAGTATCCCTGTTGCGGATACCAGTATTGCATGAGTGCCAGGGTCGATGCCAATCCTGACACTGGTATTGGTATCAGTGCAATCCTGGACATGGAACCCCCACCCTGTCCCTTTTATGCACCACAAAATACAGGCTGTACCAGCCCTTTTGCGATTCAGCCTGAGGGACTGCTCTTATTGCCTGCTTGCTTAGATTTTTTTTAATCTCCTCCCTGAGCATCATCTGACTCTGGTGTGTAAACCACTGGTAGCATGAAGACACTTTCGAAACTGCATTCGGTAATCCATGACAACAGTCCTTTCCACCAAGGGCGAGACTGAGCATGCACGCCACTCTGCTGCATGGACAGCAAGTCAGCCGAGGCGACTAGCCACCTTTGGAGTAACGGAGACACCTCCCTGTGGTTGAGCTGGGGAGTGCATTATATATTTTCTCAGGCTTGCTAATGCCACATCTTTTATTGTGTTCACACTCTTTTATTTTGTTCTGAGATTCATCCACCTGAATCAGCCGAATCTTCTTCCCTAACAGCACAGGCTGTATGGTGTTAAATGCACTGGAGAAATCGAAGAACATGATCCTCACAGTGCTGCCTGATGTGTCTAGGGGAGAGCATGCCAACCCCCACCTGCCAGTAGATCATCAACTTCATCACTGTCAAAGAGCAGCAGGTTGGGAAAGTTCACCTCAAACACCCAGATCATCAGTATGGGTGCTTCACAGGGTTGTGTTCTCTCCCCTTTGCTCTTCTCACTGTACACTAACGACTGTACTTCCACGGACCCCTCAGTCAAAATCTCGAAGTTTGCAGATGACACTACAGTCATTGGTCTCATCCGAGAGTGATGAGTCTGCTTACAAACGGGTTACATCAGGTCTGCAGAGAGGACAATTGGTTAAGTTGCCCACGTTGCTGGAACTGCATGCCTTCAGAACCAGGAAGCGTGCAGAGAAAATCTCTGCTGACTCGTCACACCCCAGCCACCACTTGTTCCAGCTCCTTCCCTCAAGCCGGCGCTTCAACCAGATGATGATAAGGACATCCAGGCTACAGAGGAGCTTCTTCCCATAAGCCATCACTCTTGAACAGTTAAAATATTACACATAAACAATATTCCAGCTTCTAAATTGCTCTTCTAAATATGTTGGTATATAGTATCATACTCAATATTCCATCCTCTGAAACTACCATCACAGACCACTGTTTCTTCTAGCATCTTACTCACCTGACTTATTACCCGACTTATCTGACTGTTACCTCACGTATCCCTTTCTTTGCCACTATACACCCTTGAATTGCTGCTGCATTCAGCACTTTAACTTAACACTGTGTGTATGAGTGAATGATGGTAGGAATGCATGTTTTATTTTATTTTATGCTATTTTATTTAATTTTATTTAATCGACTACATGTAAGTGTTTGTCAGATACTGTGCACTGTGAGCTCCTGTAACCAAAACCGAATTCTGATTCTGAGTATGTTCTGTCCTGCAGGTAGATAACTGCATCATCCACTCCAATGCCATCCTGATAGGTCTCAGATGAGCTAGCATCAGTGTCTTCATTAAGTGGGATGTCAGTGCATTGGTCAATAATCATTTAGTGCTATCGGTTGCCTTTTCTTGGGGACGGGAACCACACGAGATGTTTTCCACATAACTGGGACTCTCTTCAGGCTGCGGCTCAGATTTAAGATGTGCTAAAGAATTCCACACAGTTGCTCTGCACAGTTTCAGCACCGTAGGTTCAATGCCATGATGTCCCGCTGCTTTACTCTTCTTGAGTTTTTTCAATTCCTTCTTCACCTGATCAGCAATGAATGTACTGTCACTGGACATTCCAGTTGTGGGGGGGATGAGAAGCATTCATTGCAGACAGTAGTTGCTGATGGTCACAGGTGTGAATGGCTGTGGTGGAGGAAGGTGAGGCTGTGGATTGGCCATGGCATAGTTGTGTAAGTGTGTTAATCTGTGTAGGAGACAGACACAATGGAGCAGGAGAAGAGCCATTGTCAAACCGTTTAACTCATTCGCCCATTCACGCTTACCCTCTGCTGGATTGGGGCTGCGTTGGTTGAAGCATGTGATGTTTTTTAGGCCTTTGCAGACATCACAATGTTATTCAGCTCTAGTTTGTTTTCCAGCTTGGACTTTTTCTCCTCTTTGGCCTTCTTAATTGAGGTTTTAAGCTCTTTGTACCCTCTTTAGTTTCTCCCTGCCCCCTGCCATAAACGCTCTTTTCTTCTGGTTCAGCAATTACTTTATGTAACTGGTGACCCAGGGTTTGTTGTTGGGAAAGCAATGGATAGACTTGGAGGGTAGAACAGAGTCCACACAGAAGTTGATGTAGTCAATGATGCATGATGTTATTGCATCAATGTCCTTACCACGTGGTTCACACAAGACATCCCATTGTGTAGCCTCCAAACAGCCCCTCAGTGATTCTACAACCTAAGGTGACCACTTCCTCACTGTCTTTGTGGTCACTGCCTGTCTCTGAACCAGGGGTTTGTACCATGAGTTGAGGTGAACCAGGTTATGGTCTGAAAGGCCCAGTGAGGGGAGGGCTGTGGCTTTATATGCTTCTTTAACATTGGCATACAGCAGTTCCAAATTCTTATTCTCTTTTGTCTTGCAGTCCACAAAGTGGCTGAAAATGGGCAGGCATGATGAGAGCAAAACATGGTTGAAGTCTCCAGACACTGCAATAAATGCACTAGGGCTCTGGTTTTGCATGCTCACAATGGAAGAGTGGAAGACATACGCTGCGTCTGCATTAGCAGAAGGTGGAATGTACACAGCACACAGGATGGTGTGGGGAAAACTCACGTGGCAGACAGTACGGGCACATAGCTACAACACACAGTTCAACGTTCGGCTTACAGACTACTTCTTTAACCGTGACGCAGAATTACACCATTTGTTATTCACGAACACAGCCAGCCCTCCTCCCTTCTTCTTACCAGTTTGTTTGAGGTCGCTGTCTGCCCTCACAGTAGTAAAAACATTCAGATGAGCATGAAAGTCAGGTACACGCTGGCTCAGCCATGACTGCATGAAGACAGCTCGCCAACGAATGGAATTGTATGCTGTTTAAAGTTTTTTGGTATAAAGGACTAGGCTAAATAGCTAGCTAGATTAGCAGAGAAGGCATAAAGTGTGCTTTGAGAGGTGAAGTGCATAAAAACTGAGGAGAGATGCTGGTGACGAGGGGTTTATAAGGAGAGGGCAGGCCCACCTACGCTCGTCACTATGTATCATCTGCCTTGCAGGCATGACCATGAGGTGTCTTCAGCCAGACACGCGGTCATTATCCCATATAATATATGTTGTCCTGAGTAAACTGACTGGAAGGGATCAGTGCCCCTTTTATTATCAGTTGCCAAAAATGTCTCCTGAAACCTCAGCTTACTTTTATTTTTCACTATTTAAAACACAGCAAAAGAGATTGTCAGTTTGTGTAACTGCACAGCGTTGTTTCAGCACCTTAAAAGAAGAATGAAAATGAGAAGAAAACATCTAACAAGAGCAATAGGGTTTGATGCTCGCACACCTAACAAATGAAGAGTAAGCTGCCTTCCTCAAGCCAATATAATTCCAATTTAATTCTGAATAATAATTTTTAATAAAACAAGAAACAGATGTAAGAGTAGATGGCAAACCAGCAGCAACTCTACTTTTTTCTGACCTCTTTCAGCGTTTCTGAAAAAAGAAATTAAAGAAAAGCAAGATGATTTTTTTTTTCCAGCCAGCTTGATGAAATATATTTGCAAACCTACAATATCATTTTTATTCTTTTTGTGAAATTGCTTTCAAAACACCTTTTGTTTTTAAGAACATTTATGATAGATTAGGATGTAGATGAGGATGTTAGTTCCTAACGCTACAGTCTTGATTTGTTTCTCTGCAGCAACTACCTGTAGTTACGTCCAGCAGCATAGTGCGCTGTCGTTCCTGTAGAACCTATATCAATCCATTTGTGTCCTTCCTGGATCAAAGGCGGTGGAAGTGCAACCTGTGCTATCGAGTTAATGATGGTGAGCAAGCTTTAAACTTAAGAAATCAGTACCTTATATTCAGAGTACCTACCACACATTTGTGTTCAGCTACATTGTTTTTTGTTAGACAGAGTTTATCAGAAATATGTTTTTCTAAATATTCGATGACTAATTGTTCTTTGCGTTTTACTGTTATTTGGCCTAGTTCCTGAGGATTTCATGTACAATCCAGTCAGCAGATCATACGGAGAGCCACACAAAAGACCTGAGATCCAGAATGCTACCATTGAATTTATTGCTCCCTCCGAATATATGGTAAGCTTATGTCTTCATTGTTTGGCATTGTGGCCCTCTCCCTGTCTTTGTAGATGCTAAATTGTGCACTCGTCATTGAGTGATAATTACAGCGAGATCAGTTCACACTAAATACAATGCAGTAAATGCATCCCGTGCCATACAGTGCTGTAAATACATCATATTAATGGTTGTGTATTTTTCGACATACCTGCTTGTAGAATATTATGCAAAAGTCAGAGATCATCCAGACAAAGTGGGCATTAAATAGCAGTTTTTCTTTTGTCCAACATCATCTTGACAGCTTCACATCTTTATAGATTTAGTGTTGATTTCTCTTTCCACAGTGGAAGGATGACAAACATCTTTTTTTTTCAGATCTAAAGCATCTCTAAAAGATGAATACTATAAGTACAGTTTATGTGATAGTGACAGTGGTCTACGAAGCCTTGCACGGTTGTTAGGTGTCCTTTTTCTCTAGATTTTATATAATAAGTATATAATATTAAATATTATTATAATAATATTATATTTTTAACTCTAATGAACACATTTTATATCTTGAATCCTAATTTCCTCAGAAGTATTTTTTAAAAGTGACTTAATTTTGGAAAGAGATCTTAATTTGCATTTTGAGTGGAAATCAAATGAACGGTGGTCTCTGTCTTTTACGCTCTATATTAGATCATCAGTTGACTAATAATGAATGCCTTAAAAGAGATCTAATCTTTACCCTCTTTCATGAGTGTCATGGTTTTAAACAAAGGGTAAAGATTAGATCTCTTTAAAAAAAGAGATCTAATCTTTACCCTCTTTCATGAGTGTCATGGTTTTAAACAAAGGTTTTAGCTTTTTAATACATTTATAAAAGCATGTGTAAAGACTGTTTACATAAACATTTGAAGATACAGCTGAGTATGCCTTTCCTTTCCATGAAAAACTGCTTAGTCAGTGTCTCCCCAAAGACAATAGTTTCTAAGTGAGTATTCTGGTTCCTTAAGGCTTTAACGTTTACGCAGTTAACTCATTTCCCATTCACCACACAGAGGAAGCGCTGTTTACTTGTTTAATGCAGCAAGTTGAGAAAAAAAGTAAAACTGAAAGAAAACAGCAAAAACAAACAATGTGATACAGATAAGGGGTACTTCAATCACAAATGACTGGTATGTGTATTTCTATTGCATTTCTTATTTCTCTATTAGCATACCACTAACATCAGCACCAGACAGAGATTAACATATGCAATTAACACCTTCCATATATAAAATATTGCATTATAGCACAATATAAACATGTGAGAAGCGATCTACATACTGGCAGTGCTTCAAATAGGCTCAAACAGATGTTAGATGGAACAAGATTAATCCACAGATACAACCATGCTTGTCCCTCTGTATTATCAAACGGGCTACTACTGATGTCATCAGAACAAGACAAACAAGAAAACTTAATTGCATTACCAAATAAGTCCACCAGGAGGGGGAAAACTTCACCAAACTAAACTGCTTCTATTGTTAACACACTCTCCGCCTTTTATCTCTAGATACCACAATTTAGCTGCCGTTTATGTGTCTAGACCTAGTCATCAGAAAACAGAAGTAGTATAATCTCAGTTACTGGTCTGAAGAGTAACTTGAAATTTCCATCCTTGATGATTTTCACTTCCACTTTGCAGATTTTTCCACCCTTGCTTGGAAACACCTGAGTGACTCGACTCACCGGCCTTTCCCTGTGCCTTGTCTGATAGTCCTTTATGAGCATGACAGTATCTGGCACGATGTTTGGCTTGTCAGAAAGCCAATTCTTGCGCACCTGAAGAGTAGACAGATATTGCTTTTGGCACCTGTTCCAAAATGTACAGGCCAGACTCTGAACCTGCTTCCACTGACATCTGTATAGATTTTTGCAGTCAAACTGTCCAGGAGGAATATGTGATGCATGGGGAGGATTAAAGATCCATGCCTGTTCAGAGAGAAATCTCTCTGCTTCGTTGTTTGAGATTGGAAGGAATGTCCAATTTGTGACATGCTCCGACAAAGTTTATCCCTCGGTTGGGCCTAATTGTCTTGACTGGCCCACGTACAGCAATAAATCTCCTTGAGGCGTTTATAAAGCTTAAAGTATCCATGGACTCTATTACTTCTAAATAAATCGCTCAAACACTTAAGCGTGTGAAAAGAACTGCCCACCTCTTGCTATTAGCAAGGCCACCATGTGTACAGCGTGAAGAGATGGTCCATGGCCCAAACACATCTAGGCCAACATGGGTGAATGGTGGATCTGTGTTGAGTCTGTCTGCAGGTAAGTCACTCATTTTTTGCACTTCACATCTGCTGCGCAGTCTGCTGCAGGTGACACAGTTGAAGATGAGGATGCTTACACACCTATTGACACCTAGGATCCAAAACTCTGCTGTACGAATGGCACCCTCAGTGATGTGATGTCTTTGGTATGACTTTTCATGGAAATGCCGGGCAAGAAGAGTTGCAACATGATGTTGACTGGGAATGATAATAGGACTCTTCTCATCCCATCCAACATCTGACTCATCAATACAACCTCCTACCCTTATCAGGTCATCCTTGTCAGGATTCAATGTTCAGAGAGGACTGCCCTTTGGAAGCCTTTTCTTTTGTATGAGGACTGGGGCAACAAAGTCTAAGGGATCATATAAGCTGTTAATAGTTGCTGTTAATAGACAGAATTCTGCGACGCATGAAAGACCTCTTTTCACTGGATACCTGAAAAGTGAATGTATCATCTTTGAGATTCCAGCTGACCCCAAGACTGAACAGGCAGTGAGTCAACACTAAAATCATCATGATCCTCAATTGGAAAGGCTTCCATGACCTCTCTGTTGCTAGAAACTATCTTGTGTAGCCGGAGGTTCGAGCATGCCAGCATCTTTTGTGTCCTCTTTAAAAGATCATTGGCAACACCTGCAGTGGGCAGTGACTTCAGCCCATCGTTAACATAGAAGTCTCTTTCAACAAACTGTACCAAAATAATTTTCTTCCTTTTGAGCGGCACGTTTGAGGCCGTAAATGGCCACAGCAGGGGAAGGGCTGTTCCCAAATACGTTCACTTGCATTCGACACTCAATGATGAAAAACGCATGAAGTTCCTGTCTTTTGGTCTGACTACAAAACAGTGGAACATCTGCTGAATGTTGGCCATGAATACGACTGCATCCAAAACATCATTCAGAGACACTCCAAACACTACCCGGATTTGATTAGGCTTTTTTGGGTGATACACCCTGAATATTGGGAGGTACCAGCGCTCTTCATCTTTTCTGACTGGTGGGGCCAATTCCGCATGTCCACATTGGAACACTTTGCCCATGAATGTGAAGAACTGGTCCTTCATCTCAGGCTTTGACTGAGGATCGCTGTAGTGATGTGAAGCGATTCCAAACCTGAACCCTGTTGTTTGGAAGATGTTGTCTTTGTGGTTTAAAAGGCAAAGGAGCCACCCAGCTGTTGTCAGCATCTCTGTAAAAAAAACCCTTTCCATAATTTCTAGAAACACCCTATCTTCCAAAGAAGGAACTATCCTGTCATCGTCTCTTGTCCTTTTGAATGTAGCGTAGCATAGCCCAGAGAATTTTCCATTTCTGTGTGTAGTTGAGAGGGAATGTTACTAGATGCCATTTCATAATGCTTTTCCTTTATGAGATAATGGTTTGTGCAGGGTTTAAAGACAGTTCTACGACCACTCTCTAGGGTGGTGGTGAACAGAGTACTGACCATATCTAATTTACTGACATCTCCCAGATGTTACTGACAATTACCCATCCCAAGTCCAGTTTTTGAGCATAGGGAGCGTCATGTGGACCGTTGATTTGCTCATGTACTTTGTGAATTCTTGTGATGTCCCTCCCAAGCAACATCAAGAGTGGAGCATCAGGATTTTAGATGCCCATGGTAAAAGGCAGCTTCAGGAGTGGGAATTTATGTCCAGTCGTTAGGGATGTCGTCACATTCAATAAGAGTGGGTAGTGGGATGCTGATCCATAGACTCAACCTGGAAGCCACTAGCCCATCATCCTGTGGTGCTGACTGTACCTGCACATGTCTTCAACGAGTAAGGGGACTGACTGCCACTTCTTACTCCAAAAAGATCAAAAAAGTTTGACTTTACAGATAAACGATTACTTTGATCATCAGTGATTGTGTATAGCTTGATTGCCTTTTCTCTCTGGTCAACAGGGAAGACTCTTATCAAACAAATCTTGGAACAAGACTTTTCACTGACATCTTTACCACAAATATCTCAATTTCTTCCTCCCTGCCATGCACAGTCACAGGTGATGAGGCCTTCGAGGGCTGCAGAGCAGGTCCAGGATGAAGAGTAGCAATGTGCTTTTCACTATTACATTCAGTGCATCTAACATTTTTCTCACAGGCTTTGGCAAGATGTGAAATGGAACCACTGCAACGATAACAGATGCCGTTCTGCTTGAGAAAGGTTTTCCTCTCCTCCAGAGTTTTTTCTCTGAATCCATGACGTTTGTGTAATGGGTGGAGTCTGTTGTGTATGGAACATATTTTGGATGGATCTACAATCTTAGTGCGTACTGCATTCATTGGTGAGGCAGTATGTGCAGCAACATTCATCTTGTGGAATGAGATAGACGTTCTGGTCTTGTCATCCCTGGGAAAAGTGTCTCTCTACTTTTGCAGGATCAACCATGAAAGGAGCTAAATTGAAACTTGGATCATTTCGCATCTTTGCCTGCTGACAGACAAAGTTCACAAAGAATGAAAATGGTGGGAAAGGTACATTGTGCTCATCTTTTTAATTTAGAGCGTTGTGTCATCCATTTTTCTTGGAGAACAGATGGCAGCTTTTGTACTATGCCACATATTCTTCGAGCTGTGTCCAGGTAGGCAAGTCATGGAAAGTTACCTTCTTGTCTTGCTGCTTGAAGCTCCATCAGCAGAGCACCAAGCTCCATAGTACTGATTTAGTCTTTCCCATGCCATCTGGAGCCCTTTCTTGGGGTCGTTAGCTTGGAC